GGGGGGGGGGGGGTTCTCAGAGGCCCTGAAAACACTATCGTCTTTCTGCCTAGTTCTTGCAGCATTTCATTGCTGATTGAAGACCCCTTTGAGGTTCATTCAGGGCCCTGCTGAATATGTGGATTTGGCTTCTTTGACTAAGGGCTCCCGGAGAGGATGGTGGTGTTAAGTAACAGCAGAGATAAGCCTATTCAGGCCCCACTGCTGGTAACGCACTTTCCTGAAGCCTTGGCTTGGGAGCCTGTAAAGAGCCACTGAAAATGTGTTGGCCCCTTGCTGACAGCGTAAGCCTAGCACCAAAGATGTCCAAGGATAAAGTATTAAAAGATGTGTTCTAGGGTTATACCGTAACCAGGCTATGAAATCTCTGAACCCAGTTTACTCCTTAAGACCTGAATAAAGTTCATTCTTTTCAAGCCTGTGTTCTGTTACTCAAGTGGGAAAAGAAACAAGAGGTTGTCTGAGCTGTGCTACAGTTCTGGGCTAGATCACCCGAGGTATCGTTTCAGAAGCAACTCTGAGGAGTTCTGTCCTGTTCTTGGCTTCTGTGCGATTGAATCAGAAGCAGTTTGCTTCCTCCCAGCTTGCTGGCAGTAAGGTTGGGACAGTCCTGGCCTGATGAGGATAATAAAGGAAGAGTGAAAAGGAAGGTGCCTCAAAGATACATGTCGTTCCCTAAGTGGGCAGGGACACTAAACACAAAATGAGGACAGGAAAGCATGTAGTTACAGTAAAAGCTGCACCTCTTCCCAGGTGGTTGAAAGGAACATGTAGGGTCATCAATAGGTTGAGCTGCTCATGTTGTTCAGTTGTTTGTTCATTTTTTGACCAGGCTGTGGATTTAACGTGACTAACAGTAACCCTACCATATGCATCAACGACCTCATCACAGAATACAATAAGGAGCACGGGGTGGAACTGGAGCCCTTAAGATCTGATCATCTCATCGCCAGAACCGTGACGGTGCTGGAGAACCTGATTGACACGTTTCAGAACGAAGGGCCCAATGGTGTTCTCCCCCTTTATTATAAGTACTGGGCACACAGGTCAGTGCTGGCTCGTCTTCATTCCTTTAAAATTCCTTTATTAAGTCAATAGGTCAGTATCTTAAACTGAGAAACTAATTATGGAGCTAGTTTTTGTGTGTGTTTCTTTAATATATCTATTTCAGAGAGAGGAAGAGAGAGGGGGACAGAGAGATAGAAACATCAATGATGAGAGAGTCATTGATCAGCTGCCTCCTGCACTCCCCTGCTGGGGATCGAGCCCGCAACCTGGGCATGTACCCTGACCAGGAATTGAACTTCGATCTCATGCATCCTAGGTTGGTGCTCAACTGCTGAGCCACTCCTGGCCAGGCGGGGCTAATTTCTGATGGAGGAACTTGGGGGACACCACCTTGAGCAGATTAGCACCACTAGTAACAGGACCAACTGGCCTCTCGCCTCCCACTGGGACGCACTGGAAAGACCACATCACCAGAGAGTTTTCCTGCCAGCACATTTAAGCTGAATCTAATTGTGAGGAGACAGACAAATGTAAATTGTGGAACATTCTAGATAACAATGGTTTTCAAAGTGAGATTTGCCAGGCAGCAGTAGCAGTCTCACCTGGGAACCTGTGAGGAATGCAGATTCTTAATTCTCACCTTGGAGCTCCTACATCAGAAACCCTGAGGCTGCAGCTAGCTTTGTGCTCTAACGCACACTCCAGGGGACTCTCACACCCTTGAGTTTGAGAAGCACTGATATACACCAACAGGCCTCTACCCTTCAGAATGCCAGTTTCTCAGACATGCAGGTGGGGCTTTATGAGATTAAAGTGCATGACAGCTAAATGCAATATGTGCTTTATAATTAGATCCTAGATGGGAGGAAATAGCCACAAAGGATATTAACGGGACAGTGGTGGAACTTGAACTTGCACTGTGCTAGGTAATGTTAGTGCATCAGTTAGGTTTCCTAAAGGTGAGAGTGGAGTTAGGGTTTTGCAAGAGATGGTCTGTTTTAGGAGATGCATGATGAAGTATCTAAGTGTCATGATGCCTACAACTTATTTTAAATGTCAGCCCCCCAAAAGTGTGTGTGTGTGTGTGTGCGCGCGCGCGCGTGTGAGCATGCGTGATCAGTTAATGAAAATTTAAGTAAGGGAAACTATGAGGTTCTTTGCACTATTTTTTACAACTTTTCTGTAAGTTTGAAATTCTTAAAAATAAAAATGTTGGGGGAAGGAAATTCTGTACTTGTTAAAATTCTGTATATTTAGAAAACATTCAAAAGAAGGAGAATTAGAATGAGTTTAACTTGTAGTTGATGCTACCCAACTTTATTTCATAAGATGAAGCTTCTTAACTCAGCTTCTTTCCCCCCAATCTCAGCCAAAACACCTGGAGCATTGCACAGTGTTTCTTAAAAATGCTAGAGCGGGGGAAGTGGTGCAGATCGCCAGCCTAGAGATGGTTATTAAGAGAGGCAGTTCCTGCTCTGGCTGGATAGTTCAGTTGGTTAGAGTATCATCCTGATACACCAAGGTTGCGGGTTTAGTCTCCGGTCAGGGCACGTAAGAGAATTGACCAGTGAATGCGTAAATAAGAGGAACAACAAATCGATGTCTCTCTCTCCCCCTCCTTTCCTCTTTCTCTCTAAAATCAATCAATCAATTTTTTTAAAAAATTTAAAGAGGGAAGCAGTTCCTAACCCACTGTTGGACTTGCCCTCACCCTGGCTATTCTAGTCGTCTCAGAACAGCTCACGCAGACTGTGAGAGTGGGAGCTTGGACTGGATGCATCTGACCTTCCCTGGCCCCGCCCTCCACCCCCACATCCCTCCGCATGATGGATTAGTACCTGACTAATTGCCTCAGTCAGCTGCGTCACATTCCCATGACCTCCCTGTGCTTCACTTCCAGTGCCCAGCAAGTCTGCCTGGGAAGTGCTGAGGGGCCAAAGGTGTCAGTCGTCGGCCTGGATGATTCTGGTTTCCTCCAGGTTCACCAGGAAGATGGCCAGGTGGTGACTGTACATCCAGACGGCAACTCCTTCGACATGCTCAGAAACCTCATCATCCCCAAACAGCAGTAGTCCCCTTGGGAAGACGGCCGGGGACCTGGGCGCTCAGAGTGGGCCTGGCACTGGAGCAGCGGGACGGGACAGTGGCTCTGACGACTCAGGACTGGCCCATGTGCACGACCACCGCGGCAAGCATTCCAGTTCCACTTCTGCTCTTTCCTCGCCCATGGATCTAGAAAACTAACTTAGAGGTGTAGGTGGATTTTTCTCCCTCCAGTTACCCTGTTCTTTGTGTTCTGTCAGTTACTTCATTTGGTGTTGGAAGAAGACCTGGGTGGAGGGTTGCCAGGTGGCAAAGGCTTAGTTCAGGTAAAGCCCTGCTGAAGGTGACACTTTTCTCCCCCCTTGGACTTGGATGTGTGTTTACTGCCCCCCCTTTTTTTTTTACGTGGAAACCGCAGTGGAATAATTCAGAAATTTCCCAGTGGTGGAAACCTTTACCCCTAGACTATTAAAAAGCAAATCAAAGAAAGCTCTGGGGCCAGGCCAGTGGGGAGGTGGAGGTGTGGCAGCTGTTTATAAGCACCCAGGGAGGCGGTTTCCTACAGTGTCAGACAGGGCACTTAGTCGGCACTTAGTTCTCGTGTTCTTTTTGTGTTAACGAAGAAAGGAGAAGGTCAGCTTCTAAGAGTTCCTCTCGGCCTGGTGGTTTGTGGTCCAATAGCAATGTCTGATGGCTGCAGAGATGCATCCAGCTGGGAGGGTTGCAGTGATCTTGCCGAGGAAATCAGTTAATTACTTTGACATTAATTTATGAGCTCTCCTTTCATAGATTTAATTTTACTGCATATTCTGAAGTGATGGGATCAAGTTCAAGATCCTGAAAGAGTTGATTAGGCATTGCTCAGATGTGGGGTGACGATTTGGCTCTGACAGCTGGAGATGAAGGCTCGCTCTCTTACCACATGCGAGGGAGGATCTGGAGCTTCTAAGCCTGTTCAGGCGCCTTTGAAATGTGGAGCATTCCTGCGAGACCGCGCACAGAATACAGGAGTACACGGCATGGCATTCACAAATCATCATTTTTTTGCCCCTTTCTTCTGATAATCGAAAAGAAAGAAAATGTTATTGATATGGAATACCATCATTTAAGTGGGAGGGAGGGTGTGTGTGTGTGTGTGAGAGAGAGAGAGAGAAGAGAGAAGAGAGAGAGAGAGAGAGCGCTCTTTAACAGATCTTCAAAATCTGATATCCTAAAAGTCTCCATCGAAGAACAAAAGAAAGGAAGCCTTTTGATATACATTTGCTGTTTCCAGATGTATTCCATGCTTTTCCCATGTAAGTCCTATCTCTGTTGAACTGGTGAATCACACACATTACTTTTCAGCCGTAAAAGGCCAATTTTTGCCCACTTTTCTCTCTTCCTGTCAGTCCCAGCAGAAATTAGTGGAAAGAAAATGTGATGGAGCTTTCAGCTTTGAACAAAATTGCCTTATTGTGCAACCAGCACTATCTTCATCCAGCCGTTAGCCAGTCAGGCTAATTCCCGAGACTCACAGCTTCCAGTATAAAACCAGTGCACCCTCAGCCAGGCACAGGCAGCCCCATAGGAAGGGAAAAAATAATGTTCAATTAAGTACACCAACCCAGTATGTGCTTTTTTGGAAATGTAACTTTTTTAAAAGAACTTCAAAAGTAATTTTTGCAACTTAAGACATCAGTTAGAAT